ACATCAAATATGATTCAAGATATTCCCTGGAGACTTAAATTCAGTTCATTTAGCTAAGAAAATATGTCTGCCAAGTATGCCAGCTGTGAAAACCATATTTTATCTTTAAATCAATTCAAAATTTCAAAAGGATAATCAATGGAAGACAACAATATCTCTGAAGTGTGAAGAAATGGGCCAATAGCATCCCCCTGGGATAACTAAGGACATCAGTTAGTACAACTAATATTGAGTGTTCATTTCCAATGTCACTGAAAAGAACGTTAGCAATTATGTAGCTACCTTCGTATGAAGCTTGAGCACGTTATTGTTGGCATGGGTTGTTTCAATAACACATAGTTTTCCAGCCTTCAATTCACTTAATTTTCATTTGAAAAATTCTACAGGCTTATGTGATGTTTTCTGATTATAATATGGCCATGAAAACCATTGTTGATACAGCTGTTTATATAATTGAAACAAATCTTATGTCAGGTATGACAAATGACCAGAAAGGGTTAAGAATTCTGCCGGCTTATTGTCAGCTTGTAGAGACATGTTGGAAAAGTATATAACTGGTAATTGGAACCATTCAGTACTAGAGAGGCTAGAACTTTGAAATGCAAACTTAATTGGTGTGTTTATATATCTTTGTAAGAGGTTAGCCAAGTAAACACACACATACACATATAAATCATAAGCTTTTGTGGGCAAAACCCATTTCCTCAGATGAGCAAAGTGAGAAAAAAGGGGGGAATGTCACAATTTATAACAGAAAAATAAATGAGGGGGAGAAAAAAAAGCTGTCATTTATAGTGCCAGTGCTAATGAGGCTAATTGAGTGGGTTGAAAGCGACCCATTCTTAGCTTTTCATGTCATTTGGGTGTTGAATATAATGGCCCGTCCAATTCAGAGGGGTAAAGAGTTTGTCTTTGTTTAAGCCATGTTAATTACCATGGTTTGGGAAGGGAAGGTTACATCAAAGGCCTATTGTTTGCTCAGTACTGTGTGATCAAGAGGCTATCAGGAAGTTCTGAATTCCCCCCCATGGCCTCTCAGCAAGTAATGTATAAAAACACTACTTTCATAAACTGAAAATGCACTCTCCCCTCCCCACAAATGAGTATAGCAGCACTCTCAAATTCTTGCTTGGAGAAGAACCATTAGATTTGATACATTTATATTGACATCTAGGCAGGGCCATCCCCACCAATGCTAGTGCCCTATGCACCCCAGAACTGGCACCCCTGTGCAGCGGTTCATCTGCTTTGCAGGGGATAAGAGAAGCTGCAGGGGCAAGAGCTAGGGTTGTCGATGCTCCTGGACCAGATGGAATTTGCTGCAAGGACATCCAGTCCATCCGATCCGTGAGAATTGTCAGCCCTGGGCAGGAGCAGGGTAGGAAGGGAGGTGAGGGTAGCAAGAGTGCAGGCCAGAGGAGCAGAGAGCAGTTGTGCAGCTGGCCAGGGAAAAGCAACGCTATGGAGGGGAAACCCGCTGTTTCTCTCTAGCTATCTTGCTGCCCCCTACTACTCCTAGTCCTCCGGCATGTATTCATGCCGATCGCTGCCGCCTGGTGAAGGGGGGATGAGCACAGTCCATGGGGGGAGGGGGTGTTTAGGGATGTGGGCCAGAGAGCCCACGGGTGGCAGGGCTCAGCTAAGGCTGGGGGCTGCTGGCATCCATACACAATATCCAATTGCATGGCTACCACGAACTTCGGAGCATTTTGGTGTCCCAAATTTTGTGGTGCCCCACAGCGTTGCATGTTTTGCATATCAGTAGGGACAGCCCTGCATCTCATTTGCAGAATCTTCTGGGCTCTTTGCTCCCTTCTTTCCCTTTTCTTGTTGAGGCTGGAGTGAGGAGGAGTTAGTATTAATTACCAACTGATTGGTGACATAATTACAAGATCTGAAATATTCCAGGAAAAATATGATGGGAGAAAGAATAATGTAGAACCCTGCTATTTTACATTGTTAGACTTATAAAGCAAACACAAAATGGTAAATCCTCTGCAGCCCTAGACAAAGTATTTTTCACCTAGTATCAGGAGGGAAAGATAAAAAGCTTGCTTTTGACCATGTTGAGTTTGTTAGCAGGGGGGAGATGTTAGAAAGCTTGGATTAAAATGTAGTTTGTCTGGAGGGAGACAGATCCACAGCAGAGAAGTAAAGATGGCTGAGAGATTCTGCATTAGCAGATCTTAATGCAGGATCTGACTTCACTTGCATTGGTGTTTTTCTATTGTAAAGCATTTAGGCTGCTTCTGTAGATAAGGATTCAGGCTTTAGTGAATGAATACTGGATTTGCATGATCACATTTCAAGCAAATGTTTACATAGATGTTAATAGTTTAAGGTAAGAAAGAAAAAGATTCTTTTAACAGTCTTTTTTAGAGGATTGTAGATATCAAATTCTGATCTTAATGATTTTTAAAATTCTGTGTTAATATATGGTGAATTGTGAAAATTGGAAGAACTTTACTATGGATCCTGTTTGTTTGGCCTTTCAATTAAATTGGGTTGCAGACAGGTGATTTCATTAAGTTTTAGAATTTGTATGGAGAGGGTATTAGCAAAAATCTATCCTTAATGACATCTGGTTTAGTTCTGGCTCTTATGAATCAATGGGTGTATTCAGAAGTAGCAAGTACTATGTGTGAGGCTAGGGGTAAGTCTACACTGCGGGCTAACATTGAGTTATGATACACAACTTCAACTACATCAATCAGCTTAAGTCGAAATAGCTTATTTCGGGTTTTGGTGCTGACGACACAGCAGGAAGTCCGAGAAAGAGCACTCTTCCTCTGACTTCCCTCACTCCTCATAAAATGAAGATTACAGAAGTCAGAATAAGAAACCTGTTACTTCAAAATTATTTCGAAATAACGGGCTTGCTGTGTACAGATGCACTCTGTTATTTTGAAATAAATTGAGTTATTTCAAAATAAGGGTGAATGTAGACGAAGCATTTTCGGAAAAGCATGTCTAGATTGGCAGGACACTTTTCCGCAAAAGCACTTTTTGCGGAAAAGCGTCCGTGGCCAATATAGAAGCGCTTTTCCGCAAAAAAGCCCTGATCTCCATTTTAGCCATTTGGGCTTTTTTGCCGAAAACAGCACTGTGCTGTCTACACTGGCCCTCTTGCGCAAATGATTTGAGATCATCAGTGTTCTTGCAGAAATTCAAGTGGCCAGTGTAGACAGCTGGCAAGTTTTTCCACAAAAGCAGATGATTTTGCGGAAAAACTTGCCAGTCTAGACACAGCCTATGTGTTTTGTAGGATGATCTTATTTGCAAACTCGGAGGCCATATGTTAATCTGGGGCTTCTACTCTTTGAGTTGATGACACACACAATGTGAAACTTTCAAACCAGGAGAACTTTGGTCTGTTTTATATGTCTCCGTTTCAGTTGAATAAAATGGATCCTAAACAGTCATTTAAAATATCCATAACTAATCATCTGAAATTTTACTTCCCTATTTTCAGTGTTGTCAATTGTTTGTGGATTTGTTTGCTGTGTTGCTTTACTACTTATTTTTTCTATGTTTGTACACTATTAATCAAATTAAGAATTGATATCCCAAAGAAACTATTTAAGCCTGAGTAAATGATTTTTACTCTCCTTTCCAGTGTCAGTAAATACTGTATTACTATTTGTAGGGAGAGCATGTCTATTTCTAGTTTTCTTATAGATTTGTTTAACATCTTAAAGCTGAGCTATGTGTGGATAATATGCATGCAAAAGGGATAGTTTTGTGAACTGCAAAAGTTGGTAGCATGCTTGTGCTTTGGCAGATACTTTATTATTTGAGAGCAGTTTTAGTGGAGATTCTGAAGATTTAGTTGTCTATGGGAGACGGGAGTAGGTTGTTAAATTGGGGCTTTGGTGCATATTTTTTTATGTTTTTACTTAACGGCCATGTCTTTGATTTATTTATAGAGCTGTTTTCAGTATGCCCCATTTTGGTGTGTTTACTAGACTGAGTTGGTAGGATGATAAAGTGGTAGCACTTTAAAGCCTAACAAAATTTGTAGATGGTATCATAAGCTTTCGTGGGTACAGCCCACTTCTTCAGATGAAGAGTGTGCCCACGAAAGTTCATAATACCATCTATATATTTGTTAGTATTTAAAGTGATACCAGACTATTTGTTGTTTTTTAAGTTTTTCCTGTTACAGACTAACTCGGCTACCCCTTTGAAGCTTATGTGTTCAAAAGGTAGTGTTAATTTTCTTTATTTGATTTCATATTACATAAACATTAATTAATGCTTGTTTTAATATTTTTCTTCTTTCATACCTATGAACTGTTTAAAATATACATTTATACCTAGGTTTTTTGTTTGTACTGGTGGTGCACATCCACACACAATCTCAATATTGGTGTTGCACATAAGAAAATTCAGCCCACCCAAGGATGGAAAATATTAGAACAAACTCTGCTTGGTGGCCTCCTGAAATCCTGCCTGTGGCCTCTTAGGATTCCTATTTGAAAACCACTGCAGTAGAAGACAAAGGGTACGTCTAGACTACATGCCTCTGTCGCCAGAGGCATGTAGATTAGGCTACCAGACATAGTAAAATGAAGCGGCAATTTAAATAGTCGCCGCTTCATTTAAATTTACATGGCTGCTGGATCAGCTGTTTGTCGGCTCAGCGCGATAGTCTGGACACGCGGGTGGCGACATCAAAGGTATTTGTCGACCACCCAGGTAAACCTCATCCCAGGAGGCTTACCTGGGTGGTCGACAAATACCTTTGAT